ACACACACACACAGGCGCACTCATTCTCACACTGATACGAGTTATGTTCCAGTTGTTTACACAAGAGAGCACTGCAGGCAAAAGGAACAGCAAAATTGACGTTTTTTGCATATTGCTAGTGAAAACATTGGCTTTTATCTAGGTAAATTGTTTTATTTAATGTGATTGTAAATAGTCATTTTTGCATTTCAAATAGTACATTTTTCCGTTTTTAGCTAGAACAGAAAATATGCACTTATAACACCTTGTACAACTGCAGTAGTATCCCCTTACTGTCCTTCTCTTGTTTTCTTTCTAATCTAATGTCTAAAGTTTAGCTGAACGCGCGCCAGAGATGCAATTTGAATACTTAGTGTGCTTTTCTCTTTCTCTCTCTCTTTTTCTTTCTCTCTGTGTTTTGTTCAATTGCTCGCTGATCAAGGCGACAGTACTTTTGTCCCTGATTGCCTCGTTGCCTGTTGTACTCATTGACTGAATATGTCAGTCAAGATTGAGGCTACAGCTACAGACGTACCTTTACTTTACCACCACTACCACTACGTCTACTGTGATTGCCATTTGAATCATTCGATCTAATCATCATCTGTTTCACGAGTACAGTGTCGCCGACACACATTAAACTGTTGCTGTTTTTGATGCTAGTCAAACACAGGCTTAACCACCGCCAACAACAAACACAAGTTGGTCACTTTGTGTTCAGTCCTTTTGTTGACTTTGAGTTTAATTTTAATTTTAACTGACAGAAAAAAGAAGAGGATGGATCTGGTCAAGCGAGTCGCTATTGTTGGGTCGGGAAACTGGTAAGTTACCCTGGTATTTAAAATCCTAAAATGGTTACTAAAAACGTTTTTTTAAATCAGGGGCTCTGCCATCGCGAAGATCATCGGCGCCAACACTGCCCGCTATCCGCACTTTCACACTGCCGTGAAGATGTACGTCCACGAGGAGGAGGTCGAACACAGCGGAACAGTTCGACCACTGAGCGAGGTGATCAATGAGACGCACGAAAACGTCAAGTACCTGCCCGGGCACCAGCTGCCGGTCAATGTGGTTTGTTCTCATTTTACGCCTTTTAAAAATGCTCGAAAGTTGATCTTAATTTCCCCCCCCCTCAGATCGCCGACCCCGACCTTCTCTCGACGGTGGCCGATGCCGATATTCTCATCTTTGTCACGCCGGACGCCTTCATTATCCCGCTGTGCCGGCAGATGAAGCCAGCTTTAAAGCGAGGCGTCATCGGCATCTCGCTGATTAAGAGCTTCGCCACGCTGCCCAACGGCGACATTGGCCTGCTGTCGAATGAGATTCAGCACACGCTAGGCATCGCCGAGGTGGCCGTGCTCATGGGCGCCAATCTGGCGCACGNTTCAGCACACGCTAGGCATCGCCGAGGTGGCCGTGCTCATGGGCGCCAATCTGGCGCACGAGGTGGCCGAGGGCCACTTCTGCGAGACCACCATAGGCGTCCGGACCGCCCTCAGCGGCAAGATACTGAAGCACCTCTTTCAGACGGACAACTTTCGCGTCACCTACGTTCAGGACGTCTTTACGGTGGAGGGCTGTGGCGCTATCAAGGTACCGGGGATGGGATGGGATGGGATGGGATGGGATGGGATGGGATGGGATGGATGGATGGGATGAAATGCATTGTATTACTTTAACTAAATCTTTCCCTTTTTCTTTCACATCCTCTGCAGAACATCATCGGCTGCGCCGCCGGCTTCGTCGACGGCCTCGG